TCGGTTTTCGGCTCCAAACTGGCATATTTGTATCATCGGTTAAATTCACCTCGTCACGGAAATGCCATCTATGCCGAAACTACTTCTATTGTTAGTTGTAGTTTCTTATATCCCTAAATTTGAAAGCATCTTTCACTTTTTAACATGTGTTATGTGCATTCTAGACATTCTACACCATTTTTTGCCTACGGAACCTAATTTACTTTTGACAAAAGTTTTGACTGAATTACACATCAGGAGCCATTCATATTTTTTATCTTCGTTCGTCAAGCCGCCTATTTCATAGCCATACTTAATCATACACACATACACACATGCACACGACACACAATAACATAGGCTCAAGCGCCTACAGCTCCGTTGGTATGGGCATTTCGAGCTTCGGAGTGAGGTCCATATTTTCCTTCACTTTCTTCTCTACTTTTGACTTGAAGATCTTGGGAGATTTTTCCCTGTGGAGTAGGAATAAGTAACCCTTTTTAATGAGCTCTTGAAGTCCAACCAGCTAGTTCGTTCTCGACCTGCTCAGCTCCTCTTATGAATATACACACTCCCTCTTGACCACTCTTTTCTACCTCCCTCTTATGTCCATATTCGGCTTAGTTTGGTTCAGAATATTCTTCACTGATCCACATGCCATTAACTGGTAGGAGAGGGAGAGAGGGAATATATAAAATTGATGTAAGTCTCGATGCGCTTTTAGAATTAAGCTTGCTAACTCGATTTGAAGTGTCATATGTTGTCTACTCATCAACTGCTCTGTCTCTTTGACTCCGGATTAGAGTTTCACTGTAGGCTTTCAACTATATTCGTGTGGCGATTTTCATATGGAAATCACAGTCTTACATACAGTCAATATAGTGTTTATTGCTTGAATATCGGTACTGGAATTAGTCGTTTAATAATACCCAAATTAAGAGTTAGGTTGGGATATTCCGCAAGAGCGGCCTCAGGATGGAGAGACAGAGACAACATAGCTTTTAACTTTTTATTTTTTTAGGATACTTGACCCGCTCGAGCAGTAATATTTTATTTTACCTTCCTTTTTCAGAATGCAGCACACAAGCGCCATACGTCATCTGAGCCCGGCAATATTCACAAAATCGGGATCCTGGGCTACCTTCCATATTGACTCTCAGACACACATCATCAGTCTTCCACATCTTCTTCCGCCCCATTCAATGCTCTCGCTTTCAGAGCGTCCCATTTTGAATCATCTGTTCGGTCAAATCTTAGAATGGTCCTTATTTTCTTCAGCAGATTACTTATTTTTCTATCCTCTTTTTCGGTTCTGCCTTGATCCCGTATCATTTTCACTTGCTATTGCAGAAAAATTTCTTCATTTATCAACCACTATTGTCTTTCTATGCTTTACTGATGGCTCTGCCAGAGTTGTAATTTTTCTCAACAAATCGTCTTTCGCCCTCTGAAGCTATATTTATCTGTTGTCATTCACAGAGTCATTTGTACTGATCTGCAAGCAGTATTTCCAGGGACACAAGCTTTTAGAAATGAATCTTTGGCGTAAACTCGTTTCAGAGTTATCTAGAGAGTTTAGCATGACGTGAAGCAATGTGGCAAAAAAAGATGCTTGAACTTGCTTTTTGCTGAGCAAGTTCATGCATGAATGTATACAAACGAAGAGTCTTGGAGCTCTCATCAGTATTCTCACCACCTGAGGCGAAGCCAGATATGAAAATTTTTCGGCCCAGAAAGGAGAAACCCCTTTACCAAAGTGTTTGGCTTTAGACTTTCCTTTTGGGGTATCTATTGTTTCACCTGCCTTCACCTCAAATGCCTTTATTTTTCTTCAACCTTTTAATCGTCCGATCCTCAGTTGTACAATGCCAAAATGCCTGCGAAATAACTCATTCTAAACTTTCCTGTCCCCTATCCCATCAAAACTTATTTTCCAAAACACAGGCCCCTTTGCCCCTCAACCAAAGTCTAAATACCGTCAGCCTTAGTTACATCTCCATAGGAAGTGCATTTACACGCTCTCCTCTATTCATCTTACACTGTTCTGTATACCTTTGGTTTGAACACAACTTCCATAAAAGGAGAAGTAGCTACTCCACCTTGTATATACAACTAAGCAATATAGACAGACTTTTGATTTGTCTCACTTTTGCCCTCGACGAGCTGTTAGCAAGGCCATAGTAACATCTGGCCATTACATACATTGCCTTATAATTGTATATCGTGAATAGTGATAGACAATTTTTTATCGGTTTACTGACAGTTGAGTGGGAGAAAGTTCTCAAAAGATAGTTCATCATTGTCGCTCCAAGCAAGGATTTTGGACCGTAGATTTGGTTAGATTTCCTGAATTGAAGCCTTATATTTATTCATAAACCCAGATTTTATAAATAGCTCAAAATGGAACGGAAGTTTGAGGACGTTTAACATTTACTTATTAAGCATGAAAGTAATATATTTTTAACAAATATCGTACATAGAATACTGAAAATATAAACCTCAAAAATGAAACAAGACGTCTTTACAAGCAACCTAGCCCAAAATCTTAAGAAGTACTGTTTATTAAAATTAAGTACATCATAATTTAATACTTTTCGGAGCACAAAAGCTTAAAAGCAAAATTCTATTTGCATTTGGTCAACACTCTTAAAGTGTCAAATGAAGAAGCTTTATATATCTTAAATTTAACGAGAGGAATACGGAATTTGACTTTGTCAAATAGTGCGAATTAAGAAATTGTGAATTCTTATATCGATAACAATGAGGTCCAAAAATTTTGCTAATCCAGTTTAAAGATCGGAATATACCATCTGAAGGGGCCGCCCATTACTACTCGAATAAAAGCAATTTGATTTTACAGTCATCCACATCTCAAAAGTGTAGTTAAATCCACATTAGACTCAGATCTGAGCTTGACAAGCTAGTAACAACATGTCTACGGATACTCGAAACTGGTACTTTACCGCAGTTCTAATTCGATGGGATGAGCTTGAAATAGGCTCAATGTTGAATTAAAGAAGAACTACGTGGCAGGCATATCGTAAAGCACTGTTGCTAGTCGGCAGAGTTATTAAGTATTTTTCGATCATTTTTCCCAACTATTACACAAACACGGGCTGCAGTTACTACAAGGGAACAGATTAAAGTTATATACAAAAAGAGATATACATTAAAGCCAGCATACAAAAATATGTACATTCTTGCATACATATATGAATTTTTTTTGCCCCCCAAAATTATGTGATCTCGGCTTACTTTAGATTGCCCACCCTTTTTTCACAGGTTCGATGCCTCTGATAGTTTAGAAAACATAATTTCTGTTAATAGAATAGAGTTTTTGACCGTCTGAATGGTCCCCAACCGAGAATGTAAAATCGGCCTTCAGCTTATGAATAAAAACATTTTAGGAAAATGAAAACTGGTCAATTTCAGTCGTTAAGTATTGTACACCCCATCCTACGGACCGGGATAGACTGGCAGCTTTGAACTGAATTTCAGTTGGTACCAAGAACCCACATAAACTGATCGACAAAGGCATTAAATGAGGTGGACTTGGAGGCGAAACTTGTGTGGCCTAACACTCTCACCAGCGGATTTGTTAGTCAAAGCAAGCTCTTGTTCTTTGTTCTTAAAAGACTGCATCACATTTTCACATAATCGTTCTGTTGATGGCGTCTAAGCACGTGGTCCGTGACTGTTCGGCCAAGTCTCTATCAGGAGGCACAACTAAGGAGCGGTGAACCGATCTTGTCTATACGACTTCGGCCTTGTTTCTCTCGACCTCTTCTCCCAGCGGCACACTTAGTAATATACACATAAAGAATAAGGGGTTTAGATAAACCTTTATAGATAATCTTGTTATGTAGATCTTCTCTTCGTATGAAAGTGCATGATGAAGAGATCAGTTGCTTGATCTCATCGGAAGACAACGGCCGATTTCTGTTGTACAGCAGCCGTATGGCTTCAATACGACGTTCATGTTGACGCAGTCGACGAGGCATCCTCCTTAGTTTCGGGTGTAAATGAGTTGAGCGTTCATTCGTCATCTGACGCAACACATCAGAGATGGAACTCATTATTGCAAAAGTCTCAAGTTGGCACAAGGTCCTGAAGACTCAAGACCAGACTCATTGTAGACCGGAGGCTTTTGCAAAAATGAGTTCCATCTCTGATGTGTTGCGTCAGATGACGAATGAAGGCTTGGCCAGTTTTCACCTGAACCGATGGAGGCTGTATCGTTGACTATGTCCACGTGTACGAAATAATAAAGCCAAATGGCTCAAGAATACCGGAAATCCTCCTCTTGTGAGATCGACCTGTGTAACTCTCCATCATGCATTTTCATACTATACTAAAGACGCTACAACATTTAATTGTGGTCACTGCTTACAATCTGCCCTTCATGCCACCTGCCACGTCACTAGGCGCCAGCAATCAGCTGTAAATTTGCTCCTCTTGCCGCGTTTAGTGGCGTCCTCCTTCAGTCCTGGCCTTCGGTCATCCTTACAAAAGGAATGCTGGTTGTTCCGTCTTCACACAATCCAATATGTCTTATCCAGTGGCTAGAGGCTTCAAGAAACTCTCTATATTTCCCTACCTTTGCGTGTAGGCCTAATTGGCTTGTGAAAGAATTTTGGTGGAGTGAGGATTAATTACATTTTCAATTTAATTACGAGTTCAATCAGGGCTCAAAACACCTAATTTCTCATATTTGAGGCAATTTTACTCGAATTTGGTATCCTCAGTCTCCGAAACCCAAAAGGATAGATAGCAATACTTCACTTTCAGCCAGCTTTTTGTAGCCTGGCCGCGTCATAGCACAGAGAGTGATAGCCCGATCTACAGGGACTAGTTGCACTACTGCTAAAACTACTGAAGTAGTATGTCTCTTAATTCCATCCTAGCGTAAGCGGCTGTTGACCCCAGCGACAGTCGCTCTCACTTGTGAGACTAGACCCACTACAAAAGGATATGAAGCCTTGTTGCCATTATAACAAACCGTTTGCATATTCTCGCTTTGGCCAGATGAATGACCAGATGCTAACAGTACATTGTTCTCATTAAAGCTGAGCATTCCTTGTCGATTAATTGCATTCAAGAAAGGTCCTATATTGTTTGCCAAAAGTGAAAAGCCTTGAAATCCCAACGGGATTAGACTCCACTACGGCTTGACAATCCAAACCTTTGCGCTTTGTTTACGAGCCAATATTTCCGCCGGACCTGACTCCCAAGACACCTACGGCCAGTCTCTAGAGACAACACCAAATTTCCCTGTTGGTCCATTCAGATCACATGCTCATATGTGCCCGTGTGTGTGTGATGGCAACGTGCCTACTTCCTTCCTGATTGTAGCCACATCTCGAACGAGGCGATTGCGTGTTGAATGAGCCGGTGAAGGGGAAATGATCACTCCCAGCTCTGGTGTTAACTGGAACATTCGATGCCGAGTGAGAAGAGACGGAATAAGGCAAGTGGAGAAAATAATTGAAAAGCTATGCACAATTTGGCTTTTGGCACGGCCATAAGAAGTTGCCTCACTGGCAAGAAAACCGGACCTATGAGGCGACATTCTTTGGCGTTGGGAGCCATTGATGGCACATGTACCCTTACGGGTATTATTGGATTCTTGTCGCAAGGGGTGCGACGGTTGCTAGGCGCTTAGCAAATGTCTTTAATTTGAATGGTCGGCGTAGAACCCATTCAACATACATTTTCGAAGCCGAACCTACACAAGAATGAAGGCAGAGAAACTGATTTTCAGGGTCATTACGCTTTGATGACCGTAACGTTCTGATTAATCGGGACTATCAATTCGGCTTCGTAAGTTCGCTCGAGTATAGATACACACGCACATGTGTAACAATAGGGAATGCCATTCTAAGGAACTGAAAAAGGGTTTCTATACCATTCATAATTTGAATGTTTTTCGTATATTTGTATCACAATTAAATATTAACAAGTTAGTCTTATTAGCTTGCCACATAAGAATGCATTTTGGCTCAGATTCTGTCGGTCAAATGGCATTACAAATGAAATATCAGCGCAGTTTAATCTTCACTGAAGGAGGATTTTATTCTGAAAAACTTCACATCACCCCGAAGAGTGAAGTACAGATATTTTTAGCCAATTGAATAAATATGCAGATACGAATATGTAATAACAAATATTAAAATCACATTATTTTAAATAAATAGAAAATGTACAGAATTTCTTATCATTACAAATACAAAACTAATAACCTTATTCAGCATCCATGTAAATTCGTTTAAAAATTATTTTTAATATGAAACTTACTCATCCCATTTCGGTTAATTGAATTTTTTCACAATGCTATGAGTAAACATGACGTTTTCATTGAATTTCATATAGCTATGCCTATCCAACAGTTATGGCCATCCAGGGCGTACTGCAGTTTCGACCTCGCCAGTACAGCGTAGTGGTTAACATGTCG